AGCGTTTAGCGGAGCGTGCGCACTGGCTCGGTTTGGAAATGGATGTGGAAGTGATTGCTTGTGTGTGGCTCCTCTATCGTCGCTATAAAAGACAACGGCAGAGGCAAAGAGAATTTTGGGTGCACCCAATATTACGAGATAGACTGACGCATAAAATGTTTGCGACGTTGTATACAAAACTAAGACAAAATAAATTCACGTTTTTTAATTCGTTTAAAATATCTATAAAATCCTTCGACGATGGTTGGTCTCTTTTAGATTTCATCAATAAATAGATCAGTATCGAAATGATCGTTCTCCATTTCAGCACATATATCTCAAAGCGCTTGGCTGACGCCTGCAAAACGCGCGTTTTAACAAAAATCTATAGACGCACGTTTAACGCGCGTTTGGCCAAAGCGCGCGTTTGAGTGTGTACGCCTTCATAGAACTCTTGGTTATTTAAAACGCGCGTTTAAAAGCCTGTACACACTATGCGTTGAAAAACGCCTAGTGTGTACAGGCTCTAAGTCTAATACAGTACTGTAATTTTATACATTTCTTGTGAAAGAAACATTTCTTATTCAACGGCGATTAAAAGTATTTATATTAATTTAATGATGTCTCCAAAGTTCAACGATGTTTTCGCAGAAAAATAACATTTGAAATCGCGGCCGCGGTTTGCTGCGCTGTTCCGCGACGAAAGCAAGCTTTAGCAATGGCGATGTCGAATGGTGCACACTCGGTAAGTAATCTTACAATTTTTTGTTTATAGCGTAGTTTACACGGATTATTTCCGAAAAAAATATACGTATTTTGGAAATGTTAAGTCGAATTAATCTAGAATCGATTAATTTTATGGAAGAAAACCTTTCAAACAGCCGTAGTCCGTAAACTTCACATGTGTGAAATACGTGAGCCAATCACAGCCCAAGGATTCCTAAAACACGAAATTCGTATAACGAGGAACGCATCTTCGCGTTATAGGGGGTCTACTGTACGTTCTTGTCCGTGATTATCCTGGTCTCATCAATTACTTGTTGCTTCTGATATATGATTCAACGGCAACTTCAAACAAGTGTAGTCCACAGACTCTCCATATGTATATTATAAAAGTTTAGTGAATGCAAACTTTCTAGTGCAGTGTTTCTGAACCTTTTTTCGTCACGGCACAGTTTAGTACTTTAAAAATATGGTGGTACACTAACAATAAGATAAATTGTAAAAAAATATTACTTGGTTAATTCAGGGATGTACCAGTACCTATAATATAATTTGTAAAAATAGCATACGATAATAATTTTCAATGAAATATAAAATGAAATTGCATTACAAAGTAAACAAAATGTTTATTTAATGATAAATTACAAATTATATTTAATGCGAAATTTGAGCTTTGTGTGTTTTGGTAACTTCATTCATATTTGGGCGTAAAAATAATAACGCTACGCTCATTTCGTGATCCAGATTTAAAAGACTAGATCTCTTTCTCGTTTTTATGTTGTTCAAAGCCGAAAATCCAAGTTTGCACAAATAAGACGTGGAAAATTGTAAGAACACATTTAAAGCTTTTTGTGATATTCGTTGATTCTCGATTAAATTAAATCTCGATACACCGAGATTCTTTCAAAGTTAACTCATACACCGACGTGTCGTTTATCACAAATGGATTTCGAATCCAATTAAAATTTTTTATGTTTAAATTTGGAATGTAATGAACAATTCTTTGCTCAACTATTGTCAAATGATCAATAACTAATTTATGAATTATTTTATAGCAGTCTTTTGAAACTGACTCAAATTTTTCTAAACTACCTTCTTGTGCCTTATTCTTCCATAAAGTAATTTTTTTTAAATCCCAACAATTTATCGGTGGAGTTTAAAATATTTTCATATGGTCCTTGCATACTTGTATTTATGTTATTAAAAATAACAAAAATATCAGATAAGTAAGCTACCTTGGCACACCATATTTTGTCATTCAACAAATCAACAAAATCATCATTATCTTGTTCAAAAAATAACTTTATCTTGTCTTTTAATTCAAGCACGCGAGAAAAAACCTTCCCTCTGGACAACCATCTAACTTCCGTGTGCAATAACAACGATTCGTATTTATACTCCATAGCCTCACATAGTTGACTAAATAGGCGACTTTGCAATGGTCTTGATTTTATACATATAATTAATCATTTTAACACATTCTTCAAGCACTATTTTTAATTCTGATGGTAATTGTTTTGTAACGAGTTTTTCCCGATGCAAACAACATTGGGTAACTAACATATTTGCATTGTGTTCCCTTACATGTGCTAAAAATCCTTTTATTGATCCAGTCATAGCCGGAGCACCGTCGGTGCAAATGCCAATGCAAATATTCCACGAAACATTAATTTCTTGTAAATACGAATTAATAACATTGAAAATATGTTTTCTTGTTGTAAAATCAGATAATTCACAACAACATAAAAATTGATTAATTAAATCATTTTCGTGAATGAATCGAACGAATGCAATTAAGTGTGCTTTTCCCGTAATATCAGTTGTTTCGCCGATTTGTAGGGAAAAATTGGAATTTGCAAGAGTTTTATCAGTATTTTCTTCAATATTTCGGGACAAGTCTATAATCCTGAGATGAATTGTGTCATTTAAAAGAGATATTTTACAAATGTCAGTTTCAACTGATTCATCTATCATTCATTTTACAATTTTACGACAATCAGGTAATATAATTTCTTCAGCCAAATTATGAGGTTTTAATTTAAGAGCAATAAATTCAGCTACTTCATAAGAAGCTATCTGAGCTTTTTCAGACACACTAAATTGTTTTTCAGAAACCTTTACTTGTTTGGATCTTGCAGATTATGATTTCTGAAAGTAGTTTTTGTCTTTTGATGCAAGCGAAAAATGATTAGTGAGCAAGTGACGTTGGAGCTTGCTGGGAACCAATACAATGTTTGACAATTTACAGCCACATACCACACACTCGGGAACAGTTTGACCATTTTCGGTTGTAGATGTAAATCCAAATTTTAAGAAGTCGTCATTATACTTACGATGGACATTACATTTTTTTGCAGAGAAAACATCTTTACTTAGGCTAGGTTCGCACTCATTAGCCTGATTGCTAACATCATTATCGTCGTTAAACTTTCTGTTTTCTATCCATTTATCCATTTTAAGAGGTTCTTTTAAAATAAAAATAATTTTGTCAAAAATTAATAAAAACGACATATCATACATTACTTTGAATCCGTTTTAATTAAGTTTGACAACACAATATTACTGTATTGCTCTAGAACTGTAATAGTAATGAGCATCAGTTCAGCCAGTTCCTGCTAGAAGCGCGTTTGGAAATTCTAACTGGTAACCCGCGGTGACATTCAAAATCATATGACGATGATGATTCGACAAGTTCATCAAAAAAAGAAAATGAACTTGTAGAATTTTTTAAGAAGTATCGGAAAAAAATTATCTTCATTTAGTTTATATTGTGAAATCGATAATTTTGTAGCGTTTTCTGGCCATTTTCCATTCTGTCTTGCCTCTTCTGAAATTTGGGAGGACATGGTTTTCTGATTTTAGTCGCTTTCTGTCGAGGAAACAAAATTTTAAAATTACGGCCACATTCGTCAGACGATACAATGTGTCCGCCATCTTGTACTTAAATAGAACCGCTGTATCTGCTTTGTCGTCGTAGTTAATTCGGTAAGTACCACAGGACAAACGGTGACGTCATAATAGTGATTTTTAAACGCGGTTGGTTATTTAGGTCACATTTTCTAAACGCCTTGATACCTACCGGTTGTTACCGATAACACAGGTTACAATTTTCAAACGCGCCATAGGAAAGCAGAACCGTTTGAACTACTTCTCTGATGTCATTTATGTAGGATATTCGCAGTGGCAGCACACTTCAGAAATCTCGCGGCACACTAAAGTGCCGAAGAACAGTGGTTGAGGAGAACCACTGTTCTAGTGGAACATAGTCGAAATATTCAGATACAGTACATAGATTATATGGGTAAGGATGCAGATAATGTTATAGTTACAGATATGATAATGGTACAAAGTTTATAACTCAATCCTTAAGCTCTAAATCTTTCCAATCCAGAGAACCTGAAAACAAATCTATATGAGCCAAATAATGCCAGAACACTTTGGAGTTTTTGTTTTGATAAAGTCAAAACAACCCTCGCCATCAGTCTATCTCATTGCAGGCCTGGCCCAACTAATCGTAAGCTAGATAAAATGGCTCGCTTAGAACGACATGAAAAAAAGTAAAACAAGTTACCTGAAAAAATACAAGCGAAATTATTATTAAGTATTTCAGCCCAACAAATCGTAATAAAGCTTTCAGTATGCTTGAATTGCTCTTCAGTAGTTCCTTGTTCCACTCTCTAAAAGAAAAATTGCGATATAAATTAACTTAACAATTGAAAACCCTAAAAGATTGAAAAGTAAGTTCCTATTGTGGGGATTCAGCAGCCCTTAATGGCCTTCTTTCATCTGTTGTTTCCTGAAAGTTGGAATGGTATAAAACCTCAGTTTAAACAGCACAGCACATTACGGAAAGGTTAAGCATCACATAAATCCTGGCAGGGATTCACATGCTCAAAAATAACTAATTTTTAAAAACAATAAAGTGTTTGACTGTATTAGCAATCAGAATAAATTTTCTGTAATATTTCGAGAGATAATTAGTTTTGAATTTAGGTAATCGACTTTTCATAACTTTATAACTATCGCATAAAAAATTAAAGTAGAATTAAAGTAACCTATGTAACAAAACTAGTTTCTAAACGTTAAATAAAACTATTTTCTGAGTAGAGTAAAAGAATTGCAGTATTGTTTGATAAATTTCTAATCAGAAAGAGATCTTTTGTTTACATTCATAAAACAATTAGCCGTTTTTTGACATTCATAGTAGGAAGGCTAGGTCTATTCACTTTTCTTAAATCGTGATCTTTGTATATTTATATACAGTAAAATTTGTTCGTGGTTTGATAGAGTAATAATTATTAAAAAATAGTCAATGTTGTAAGTTTGTATTACAAATTGATTAACTTACTTCTGAAGTAGATCCCCAAGATACTCTGAAGTATGATATTTTGAAGTTCTGTATAGATCTTCATCTTTTAAAAATCTTTTTCTTCCTTCGTTTATTATTGGAAAGAGCCAACTGAAAAATAAATATTTATTTATTTTCCAATAATTTCCTTGTATAATTCTTTCCATTCACTGTTTATATACCAAATGCTTTTATGACGCACACAGAACAAAAGTCACACCAAGTTACTTACTGACAGAATCTCCTTACATGTATGATGTTTAAAGAGTAGAGAACGATAAATTATTATTAAACATGTATATGTGTATGAGCTCTTATTCTGTGTGTAATAAATGATAAAACTTAAAGTGCGTTATTATGTCGCCATTATTGCGAATTTTTACATGTAATAATCGTAATATATCAATAATTGTAATTGACGTAAATTTACTAACAACAAGTCATAAGTAGTAGGCTATGTAGCAAGATTTATTGCAAGTAAAATTAACCATTATTTAAACATTAGAATATAGGTGCCTATAATATGAAACAATACAAATTTAGATGTTAGATCAATGATACTTTTTTCTATTGTGATGCGAAAAAAAATTCACAACACAAAGATTCTGCAATGTAAAAGAGCAAAAAATACACCTTTCTTGATTTTTAAAATCGGACAGCCATTTCCACTACTCCAAAGTTCCATACTATCTTTATTTCGAATTATCTGTCAGCAATAAAACACCAATAAATTTTTAAATCTCAGTTGAAGAATCATTTTTTCATTCATAACTCATAACCGCACTTCCTTTTCTTGTTTTTCCGTTTGCAAATTATTTCCAACAGATATCGTCAATTAAACAGCTCAAGCGGGTTAACTTCTTGTTTTGTAAATCGTGTAGGTGCAAGAGTACTCATTATAACTTTGACTTGTTGCTATCTATTTCACCGTAGAGAACGGTCAAAAAACCAAACTTCTTTCCATTTTTAAAGATTATCGATAAAATATTTTCATCTTATATTCATGCTTCATCATTTGGGACTTTGTTATAAAGTGAATCTGAAGAAGGTTCACATACAGCATCAGCCTTTTCGGCATCTGATGAAGGTTTCTAATTTTTTTTAGTATCTTGTCTAAGCTTTCTTTTAAACTTTGAGTGAGCTCATTTGATAAGGCTGTATGCATTTTTGTAATGGCCACCATATCAGTACTTAAATCTTACCATTTTATAGGATGTCTCTTTATAGTGAGCATTTACTGTTCGTAAAAAACAGGAGGTTTCCAAAGAAAAATTACCAGTAAGAAATTTCCGAGGACAGAAAATAGCTTTGTCGTGTGTAATTTTAACAATGTTTTATAACAGTAAAAAATTATTCATTAATTGCATCCTCACAACGTGAACTGAANTGCAGTTACACCAAAAAATCCTGCAATTGTTATATATATATTGTGTTGATTCCATTCCAATCTGTTGTCAAAATAATATATTGTTAATCCCAATAAGTATGCTTGGCCTGCAACTACCACCGTTTCCTGTAAATATATTCATGTATATATACGTCATATATTTTATTATAAAGCTTCACGAATTGCAAATCAGATTTAATAACACCCAAATGAGATAGACAGATGGCAGCACAGTAATGGTTGGTTTATAAACTACATACAGTAATTATATCCATACATAATCTATATCCATAAGTGTTTCTAATATGATACCTATGTTAGTAGTTTTAAAACATACTGTATCCATATCCATAGGAGCCAAATACTTTTATCTCCTACCAGGCGGTCTGCCATACATATGCGAACTATTGATGTAAACAGACAAAAATATCACGTGCTTCATGCAGATCAAACAATTCTTGTTTTATGTTTCTTTATGAAGGAATTAAGTCTTATCATAAAATTTTATATTGATCAAAAGTAGCATGAGTCAAAAGTTGCCTTTCAGTCGATTACAAAAAATTAGGTACTGTACGTGGTCAGCTTATATTGATGCAAACTTTCCATCAATGTTTTTGTGACACTCCCTATTACATCGCTTTTTGTTAATAATATAAAGTTTTTTCGATAATTGCGAATAACGATAACATATCCACACAGTTTTCTTATCTAATATATAATCGAGACGGGTTGATAATAATAATAATAATAATAATAATAATAATAATCAGCGCAGAGCCCAAACGGTTAGGAGTTGAAAGTTGAAATTTGTACACAGTTAGGGTACGTCACGAAAACGCACACTAAGAAAGGATTTTTCGAAATTCCCCCCCGGGGGGAGAGAGACAGGATTAAAACTTCTATATACATTATGGATACGAGCCCAAACGGTTAGGAGTTGAACGTTGAAATTTGGTACACAGTTAGGGTACGTTAGGAGAACGCACACTAAGAAGGGATTTTTCGAAATTCCTCCCCACGGGGGAGAGGGACAGGATTAAGGCTTAACACTTCCATCAACAATGGAAGTGTTAANGGTTTTTGGCAAAATTTGATGTAATATCGCTGCTCACGTTGTTCAGTCATTTTCCAACTTAGTGGAATCCGACGAGAACCCGCTACACGTCCTCACTCATAGTCCGACTGCCAACGACTGACGCTTCCTGCAGGCGGGAAAAAATTCAGGGCTGTGCATGACTGTCCCCTCCACAACTCCACCGAAAGAGGCCTCTCGCGCATCATTGGTTTTCGCGGAAAAAAAAAGGTCCGATACTTTTTGAACAGACCATATAGAATTGTTCTGGTAAGATTAGTTTGTTTTGTCATTCAATTAAATTATATGATTAGTTGTGTACATTTTGTGTTAAATCCATTACCTTCTCATTTTTTATCGTTTATTTCAGTTAACTTCGTCGAACTTTAATAATAATGATGACATTAATAACGATTTTAGTCGTTATTACCAATTGCAATATTTATAAAGATTCGACTTTACCCTCAAAATTAAGCTTTTTCCATTTTATAACAATTGAAAATATTAAAAAAAAATTAAATAAAACACATTAACATCTGATGCCGCACAGAGTTTTAAATGTTGACGGAAAAATAAAGCAACTAATTGCTAGATTTTTTTTCTTGTGTTCTTTACAAAATTGAGACAATGAACTTTTTAAAAATTAAAAATATAAATCCGTTTGTTTATTATTGAAAACATTTAAAAATGCATTTAATTAATTTTCTATTCTGTAGATAAAGTTTTTTTGTTATAGAAACGTGTCTATACTCATAACATCATAACATTTTCACTGTAGTCGATTATGTTAAAATTCTTACCAATGAGATATTTGAATATTTGTATTCGATATTAGAAAGCTTCATTACAAAATATACAATATTTATACACTTTATTTTTTACATTCATTTCACAAATTTCGGTTNAAGCTATATTAGAATTATATATTATGAATTATGCACATTATGCAAGCTAATAATTTTATGAATCCGACAAGTATTCCTTTCACTTCGATTTATGTAACCATAAATTTTGATTAATATTGGTTAAAACAATAAAAAGTAACAACATATGATACAAGGGAACTGGGTTCATTGGAACTGGAAAGAAGTTAAAGGATTAAATAGTTGTGAATAATAACAAATTAATTGCAACTCAAGATGGATCATATGTAAATTTTGAAAATGTATTTCCAACAGCTACATTTTTGTTTCATAAAAATAAACATATAAATGATTATAGCCTTGTATATATCAAATTTTTGTTTGTTTTTCACCTACGGTCATGTTTTTAATTTTCCATGAGGTAAATATTTTTTATCTTTCAGTTGAAGAACATACTAACAGATAGGGGACGACATGGTAACTTCGGCATACGGGGCAAGTTCGTCAATTAAATTTTCTTTGGAACAGAATAAAAGGAAACTCTCTTTAGAAGCTAGACAGTTGAGTTTTAATGACGGCCGTTTGAGTGTAGTGTCTGTGTTGTTCTCCGACAAGCGTTGTTGAAATATCAAATAAGTTGTCTGTTTCATCCAATTTCTTATAATATTTTGCTTTCATTTATATGGAACTGGCATGTTTTGTTATAATTCCATAATAACGAAAGTTATTTTTCCTGTTAGAAGAATAAAACATTAATTTATTCATGCGGCAAGATCATGGCTTGGTACCCCATTTTCGGGATTCCACTTAATGTTTCTAAACCATGACTATCACAATCTTCGACAGTGTTTCCGATCTTGTTCCTGATCATGTTTTGCTTTGGTTTGATTTGGCCGCAAACAACAACAAACAGAAGAAATAACTGGATTACCATACAAAGCCACACTAGAAGCCAAGGGAAAAGTTAAAAAATCAGGAACTTGCAGAAAGGCATTAGATTTAAAGAAATCGGATCGAGCAGAAAAGTCCTAAAGAACCGAAAAATGACGATGAAAATACTTATTGCATATATTGCAATAAACACTATGTAACTACTCGGGAAAAGAGGATTATGTGCTGCACTTGTGAATTGTGGGCTCATGTGGCTGTACAGATATGGAAAACGAGATGGTTCAATTTATTTGTGATAAATTTAGGGCATAAACAATTTGCTGTTAAGCATATTTCATTTCTACTTTTTGTTTGAGTTCACTGATTCATTTATATTGCTTTTAACTTGCATTAGGATGTTTTCATTTATTATCAGTTTGATTCTTTTTGTAATTAATTTTTGTTTACATTTTCTTTACTTAAATATGCCTTCGAATTTGTATTTCGTTGTTACAATATTAAATAGGTTTTTGAACTTATATTTCTTTATTTTAATAGTGAATTCAAACTTATACATTGTTAATAACACATATTTATATATCTGTCTATTTGAAAAACTAATTTTTTTTAGTTTGTATAGTACAAACGAATTTTACGTTACAATATACAGTATCATAGACAAGAAATGTTTTGAAGTTTAACTCTCAATAAACTAGGAAACAAAAAATAGATATATAAAGCACTGAAAACGTGAAATATAACACCAAAACGAAAATTTATGTATATTGTAAAAATTAATAAACTACGTTATAAATTCAAACAAGCTCTTTTCATGCACGGATCTCAAATCGTACTAAAACTTTTCAATTGTTAATATAGTTCTTCAATAAATTTACCTGTACGATTATAAATTCACACACCTTTTTTTCATCATTTTTATCTATGCAGTATAATTTAAAATATTAATGAATTTAAATAAGCTTACATACCAGAAAAATAGACGAGAGAAAACACTAGCTGAATCGAACGGGTTACTATTCGAATTTTGATCCATCTTATCTTAGGAGGTGACGACTGAAGTTCTCTCTATCTGCAACTACAGCATTACACGTCACTTCTAAGTATATATGTAATCATTAATTTGTGTGCACGTATCCTTGACATTAATAGCTGTTTTTATATTGTTATCACAATATAAAAACAGCTGTTTACAACAGTTAAAGATACAGTAAAAGGTGTATTTTTAATTATTATACAGTTTGATTAACTGGCTTCTACCCCTAATGCGTTCATATCTCGTTTCGTCTTTCATCAATGTAACTCCGTTCTCGAGATTAAGAGACTATAGACAGCCTGACGGACGAACGACAGTGGAAATTTTAGGTCTACAATTTTTTAAATCGCAGCTCAATAAAACGTATGTTATATTAGTTTAACATTATGAAACTTGCATTAACTTATATAATTAATATATTTTTAGACACTCAAAATATTCAAACTAGATACATATATAAGAACATTTACATAATTCGTTCGATAATATATTTGAAATAAATTCTTCTGTGTAAAACATACAAATGTTACGACCGATTTACTATATAATAAGAATTAGTAAGATTATTTACATTAACTGATAAGAATTATTTCAGTTATTATAAATTAATTTATATATAAACAGGTCTTATAAACATGTCAAAGTCTAGTTGTGAAAATATGTTTATCATATAAATATCAGTTAATATTTTTTTAATAACAAAAATACTGTTTTCTTTTTGATTTTAATCTATATTGTACTCAAATTCGATTACATAAAAACTTTTTACAAACATACAGGTTTATTTCAAAAGTTTGAAATCATTATTCTATACATTGTATATAATATTTGTATATACAGTTGTGAGATGCCTAAGGCTTAGAGAGTAGCAGTTCTAAGCCCTTCTTTCAGCGTCGAGGATGGTAAATCCTCGCTCAAACGTCACTGGATGGTTGTACGGTGTTACCCGAGCGACGACGGGCTGGATAAGCCAATAGGATCTGTTCTCAGAAATAAGACGGTGTGACAGGTTAAGAAAAACCAAAAATTTAGTAAACTAACATAAAGTATATGATACACTAAGCTACTACACAACTAGTTGGTCTACCTTTCATAGTGCTCGGGCCTATTCCTATGTGCCAATATTATTTCTATTCAGTCTATATGACTGTATCAGTTAGAAACTAAAGCCTTATATCCAAGTTCTTATACGCTCATTGACCAAGAGAAAGAGTTTACATAAACTATTCAAAGTTAATACCTCGTAATGACACTTCATAGCACCTAGGTTCTTCTATGCAACGTTGGCTGGATGGTCGGCGAGCTAAGGCTGGAACGTTGGGGTACGTAGGCCGTCGGGGAGCTCGCGAGTAGAGCTTCGTCTATGCTCCTAGGATGTCCCTGGTGATCAGGTGCTATCCCTTTTTATACGCGTTGTGCCTGAGAATTGACTCAGGTTACTTTGATTTAATGAATTCTAAGTTCGAGTTGCGCCCAGGGTTTGCTGATATGAGGTGTCAAGAACCAGACAAGTCGGCAGAATTATTGCTATTTTCTAGCCGTTTTATGAATTCTCTCATCACATAATTCCAGTTTCCCATCGTGAATAATCGATGGCCTTGACTGACAGTGTAACATAAGTACAAACATCCTAGTGACTGTTGACTTAGAACGTTATTTAATCGGTTTTATCTACCATAAGACCGCGAGTGAGTGAGAGAAAGGAAGTGGGGGTTTTTCCACTTCTCTTAATGTTTAACTAACTAATTAATTACTGAATTTCCCATTCCAGACTCTCACACAATGCTACGATATAATTATATAAACTTGTTGTGATCATACTAGTTACTTATATTTTCCATGTTGACCCAGTTTCTAAACGTGCACACAGGACTTCGCAATATAAAACACGCTATGGTGTTTTATATTAATATATACTGTAGCTATAGATTTCTCCTACATATTTCTTTTGTTAAAATGTGACGAGTCGAATTATTTGGAAGAAAATGTAATTTTTTAAACATTTACATGAAAACGTTATATCGAGATATATATAAGAGAATGAAATTTGGCTATTAAGCTTTCACTGGAAAAACGCTAAGAGAAGATGGGTTAATATAAAAATGGGTGTTGCTTTTCTACCTATTATATATGTATATTTTACATTTTTAATTTCTGTTTTTTTTTTTTTTAATTGGTTGAAGAAGGAGTTAGATCAACAAATACTGCTGACCTTATCAACTACTTTAAAAAATAAACAGCAACCAGTTGCTCTATTTTCCGGCAAAGTTTTGATAGCGCAATTTTTATCGTATTTTATTTGAAAACCTTTACATATTTTTAAGTATTACAAAATATTAAAAAGCTTAATTTTGAAGGTAGGCAGAAAAAATTATATATAGAAAAAACAGATACGTAAAATTTTATCTCATAGAAAATAAGTACATGATTTTATTTTAACTGTTTAATTCTGCGATTTTCCAATTACGTTGAAAATGTAAAATACTTCTCATGTCTGCAACATTATTTGTCGGGATTATCATAAATCTAATTTTTTAAAAATTAATTTTAATTTATTAACACGAATTAACACATGAAATGTTGTTGCACACTATTTTATAATTACTACAACTATTTTATAAATATTTATAAATAATGTTAAGTATTTGAAAGCTTACTTTCTTGTAATTCTTTTACATTATACACTTTATATTGTCAGTTATAACGTCGTTTATATAATAAGTAATAATAAGTAATTATGTAATAAGTAATAAGTATAATACTTACCGTTAATTATACTTATTATTTTTCTGAACAATATAATAAATTATTAACGACTTCAGCCATATTACATATTTACTTTCATTTTTAAATTTAACAATAAAAAGATAAAGAACGGTGACAGTAAAACATTTATTTCTATCAAATTTACATTTTACTATTTTTATATTTTTTTTCACCAGATGTGTCATCAAAAAATTAAATGACGTTATTTGCAAATTACTGTATAGTATTTAATATAAAAATATATATATATGGTTTTTCACAATTGTGTTATAATTCTTTGTAATGTACACACAGTTAAGTCTATGTATTATTAAAAAGTATGGTGACATGATTTAAATGTTTTTGTTGTTACCAACATTGAGTTAAATTTTAATTTTAATAAATTTCTATATACATATACATTAACCAGTGTTTATTTATGTAGTTGACATACTAATATACAATCTACAACGTCATGTTTCTAAATGACTTCCACTGAAAACGTACTACAGTCGAATGGATTCGGGTTATGAAGGTATCAGTTAAATAAAAAAAAATTAACGTATTGAATTTGTAACGCTTTTATTTAGAAGTTATATATTTTTTGTACTCGTTTTGTATTTCGTAAATATGAGTTTGATACTAATTGTGAATGCTAGTACCAATAAAATTGTCATTAATTCCCACCTTACGCCAGATATGACACTTGACCACCCTTTTTCTCTTCATTCCGTTGACCCTTTAACTATCAAAATCTAACATTATTAATTCCCCTAATATAGAAACTATGCTGAAAGATTTCAATTTTTTTCGAAAAAAACATAGGAGTTATTAAGCCGTAAAAAGGGTGAAAAAAATTCTGCCCCCCACACATTAATAGCCAGACATACAGAAAAACTTCCTAATTTTTTCGCATTTCTGGATGTTTCAAGTTGTCATAATTTCAAAACTGTAAGAATCTTCGAGGGTCATTTTTTGATCAATCGTCATGCTTTCTCTCGGTTATAGCCTATATAACAGAGGCTGGAAAGTAAAAATAAGTATATGTATATTTCATCTTCTAATAAATTCAATCATATTTTTAGAAATTTTTAAGCAATTCTCCAGAATATATATTGTAGCAACAGCTTATATAGTTAGTAATAATTTAATAATTATTTCTTCGCCACTATCTTATTGCACTCGAATTTCGATATAACTAGTTTCATTGTCATAAAGTGAAACACGTTTGAACAGATCTTTTTTTATACATGTTATATATATAACATTTTAGTGTCTGTGATTTATTGTTGAACTGCAATTTTAAAAAAACTTTGTAGATTTATTAATTACCGCTGTTGTCCGCCTGTCCCCCCGTTTTTCTTGAATTTCGAGAAAGGAGTTAGATAAATGCTGAGACCAGATGTGGAAACCATTAGAGTAAGATGCTTTGAACAAGTATAAACGCACTTTCGATGCAAACCGGAAGTCAGGTGACAGCGAAAAATAGAAATAATTATACCTTGCAGAAAATATATACCATTAAAATGAGTAAGTGTAATTAATGCTAAGTAGAAAATAGTCGACGTTGTATATGAACAAATATATATTTTAGTGATGTAACGAATATTCGGTTACTATCCGGTATTCGGCCGAATACTGAATACCTAAAAACAGGAGTAAGAAATAACAAAAACGCAGTAAATTAATCATTTTGGTATTTAGATTTAATGTTATCGGGTTAGTGTTGTTTGTTTATATTTATTTATAACTTACAACATGCACAAAATAAAAAAGAACATAATATTAGTGACTTGTATTCACAATTTATAATTACAAAAATCAGCACACGTACACACTTATTCGTTCGAGAATCGTCGCACATCTGAGGGTCTGATCCTGCCTATCCTTCTTTTTAAGCGCTCGTCTTTGCTCTTCCCTTTCTCTTTCCTCTATCGCTCTAGTCCACGTATGCCTATGCATACATCATAATACGCGCTCAC